CCTGGGGAATCAAGGCTACCTATAAGGAACCAAGCAGTTTTGAGGCTTGTAGACAATTCAGTCCTGGAAAGGACACAGACGGTCATTATAATGGAAAAGGAATAAAAGAAAGGAAATTAAAGCATGGTGATATGCCTCGTAGAAGAGAAATAAAAAAGGAAAATCAACTAGAACTCCGTGTTGTGGCACATCTCTGGATCAACAGTCTTGGATTAAAAAAACGTAATAGTGTATCTTTATCAACTCATTAGCAAGAAAAGGAACTATCCCCTGTTCTGATTCTTGTAGTTTAAGAATTAAAACATATTTAAAGTGTGCCTTCATGTGTAATTCTTTAATGGTGCAAAGGCTGGTACTAAACAGTTTCCCCCAAGGCCTGAGGGAACAGTCCTTCCCCAACTATCCTATTAAACTCTCATCCTCCTAAACATAGCACTTAAAGCTAACATTCAAAGGACTTGTTCAGAAGATCAGGGCTATCGTAGGGTCATTACATAATTAGTGCTAAAAGGAATTTAATTAAGGTGACAGAAGATTCACTGGAAGGAGTGCTGAAACCCAAGAAAAGGTAGTTAAAAAAAAAAAATATAAAGGGATCGAAAATTTTTCGAAACATGGACCCAACAGGAAAATTGGAATAGGCATGGGGAAAATGTGAGATAATGCATTTGGGGAAAATAACCCTAACCGAAAATCCCATTGGCATGAGAAACCTCAATGCAGTGAGGATGAAAGGAGAGATTTGAGACAACACACAATACTGAAGCTACACATTCCTCTTTTACCATTTCTGACCACTTTTTCCCAAAGAGGACTAATCTGTGTATACACAGTTATTTTATTAGAGTCTCCTTTCCACTCCTGCATTTTTTAGGCAAACAAAAATGTATTATACTGCTTGCTTTAGCAGACACTATTAGAACTTCAGAAAAGGAGTCTACTCCTATAATTTGAAAGGTGGAAGACAAGGTGAAAACATAAAATTAATCAGATCACAACAAATTTTGAAAATGTAGTAGAGAAGATCAAGTTAAGCCATGATTGACTAAAGGAGACAATTGGATGTATCTGTAAACATATTTAATGTCACCAAGTCTGCTTGATATTTAATTCTGTTCTACTCAATCTACCTTCTTTATTACTTTATCTTAACTCAGTGATAATCCACAGAGTATCTTAAAGTCTTCCCTTAAGGTTTCAATGATTTTTTTTTTAAAGTCATCAAATAGCAAGAGGAAGAATGAGACTTTGCGAATTACAGTTTGCAAAAAATGTTTGCAAACATTTTACAGAGCACAGGATTTTAACTTAAAGTTGTAATTTAGTAAATGTGTTTCTAATGAAGACAGACACCTAAGTTCCTGTCTGTTGTACTGAAACAGTATAAAAGCATGACTATTTGAGCAGTAACAAGATCACCACTCACTGGCATTTCAGTTAGTGTGGACTTTCTGTCCATTTATTCTTTCAAGTTCTGCTCCAAATTCTAAGATTTCATCTTTTATAATTGTATTTCCATTTCAGTTTACATGGACTTGTTGGTAAAATGAAGTAAAATCTCTTCCACCTGTAAAACCTAAAGCAGGAACATCCTGGGTCCTAGAAGTACAATATCTGAAGATTCGTGGGAGGCCAATATTTTCTACTCTCCACAGCATTAATTAGAGTCTCTCTGTATTTCTTCACCAGCTCCTTCACAAATAGAAGAGGGTATGGATTCTCCCACCTCTATCCCTGCTTTATTGATGGCTATATCCCTTATTATACAGCCTGAAAAGCAAACAAATGTGCAACCTGTTTGATTGGGTTACACAAATACACATCTATGGCACAACACATTGAGTGCTTATTCATGGTATTTCCAAGGCTTCATCTGTTTTCATGGTTCTGGTCTGGGTTTGTTTCTGTTCTTTCCCTCTCCCATTTAGTTATCAGTTGCTCAATTGCTTTTCAACACAGTTATCTATTTTACAGTCTAGTACCCAATGCTACCTATTTTTTTTTTTTTTGATTTAAGATGTACAAACGCAAATCCTCTAAGTCTGTACAGCTGCCAGCTGCAAATATGCACGCAAGCCTTAGGGAGTGTGCTTCCTCAGACTGCTGTTGCCAAGATATTTACAAATAAATGAACTAAATTAATCTCTCGTGTGACTCTTTTGAAGCAAAAGATTTGGCACAGTGTGTTTAAAGAAAGTAATTTTACTGAAATTTTATAGTCAAAAGTCCACAAAACTTACACTGAAGGCATTTATTTCAATATAATTCTCACAAGGTACTTCTCAGCTCTTCAAATTTTATGGTTGTTTTCCTCCTTGCTTTGATTCTGTAACTTCCCTTTCTAAATAAACTGATAATAGTAAATAACTTAATCTAATTTGTTCTTAAAACTGTTAAACTTTCAGAACTTCTTTCTTGCCCCTTTCTTTCTCTCTCTGTTAAGTGATCCTGTGCATTTCACTTCTAGTTCATTCTAGTCTAACCTGATCAGACAGTTTTCCACTTTCCAACACTTGTAAAGACTTTACCACCACTGAAACATTGTGCCAGTATATGTCTAACAGACAAATTTATCCTCATCTTTATGAATCTAATAGGTAAAAGGTGAACAAAACCTGATCTAACTTGCATTTTTGCTGAAATACCAAGAGCTGACAGAAGATGATACAGTGCATGGCTTTTTGATTAAGATGTCAGGTCAAGAGACACCTCCATTTTGATCATTATTCTTCAAAAGAGAGCTGGATCATGTCCATGTCAATGTCCAGAAGGGAACAAGAATAAACAGACATCTAGAAAATTATATAATAACAAAGACTGAAAGAGCATAGGCTAGTTCATCTTAAAAAAAAAGGTGACAGAGAGATATGATATTATGTTGAATTTTGCTGAAAAGAGGACAGAGGTAATTCCCTTTCTCTTTGAAAGAAAGAACAATAGAAAAAAAAAAGAAAAAAAAAAAAGAACATTTAACAAGAACTTTTAGGAAAATCTTATTAGCAGTATGGATAGATGAATATTAGAATAGTTTGCTTAGGGAGAAGGTAGAATCTCCACTGCTGGATTTATTTAAGAGCAAATTAGACAAACATCTTTTCATAATAATTTAAGTAGAGTTGATCCTACCATGCACAAAGGATGGCCCCTCAAGGTCCATTCCAGCCTTGTTTTTATGATTCTACATTCCTAATTCTTCAACTTGTGCTGAGATGTATCTGGCACTCCTTCACTTGTCATAAACAAAGGATTCTTGCTGATCCCACGGTTTCTGTCCACAAACTTTTACCTCTTTAGAGCTCTTCATCACAGGACCTCACAAATCTATAGATTCTTTCAGAGCATTTTGAAAATATTGAGCTAAACTTTAGGATTTGGTACAGCAAGTGATAAACTTGAAATTCGGCAAAATCTGGTGGATTCATCAAGTATGCTGCAGAGCCAGGAATTTGCTCTCCAGCCTCTTCATTGGTACTACAATTAGTACAAAATTGTTGTTGTCCCAGGGAGCAGTATGACATTCCACATACTCCACAAGCAGTAATTTCTGATGTGCTGATGTACTTGGTTTGCATCACAACTTACGAACTGTGAGTACTGGGTTATACTGTGAGCATCACCCATGTCATAACTGGATAGAGAGTAGTGAAAAAGCTGAGAAACCAGAGGCAAAAGAGGGGAGGTTGCAGTCAGGTTATCAGTGAAGGAATACTTGGGAGGTCTCCCTTACTGTAAAGGCAATGCTAAAGGCTGCATTTTGGGATAGTGATGGAATAGTGAATACTGGAGTCTGCTGTCTGTTCCCAGGGTTATTTTTTCATTTTATCCAATGTTTCTTATCTGAGGAATAGACAAAAGTGGAATTACATTATCACTGTCCTACATCATGAAATTCATGATGTCAGCTTACTTTTCTTCTAGGTTATTTGCACTCTACATCCTGCTTGAGCTGAGCTCAAGTAGCAGGGCTGGAGGCTTGTATGTGGTCTGCTTTTCAAGGAACTGCGCTGCAACATGAAGAAATGGATTTGAATCCTCCCATCAAACCAAGGTAGGCCTACAACTCATCTTCCAGGAACCTGACCACATTTTATTAAGTCGGTGAAGAAAGCAAGGCACACTGAGCTGTTCCATACAGCTACTCAGCTCACCATTAACAATAAAAGAGAATCTAAATACTGCAGTTCTGAATTACTGAATATGACCCTGTTCTAGAGCCATGTCAGCATCTATTTCTAGGGCATATGTAATGGAAGGTCTAAAGTCTACCTGTTCTTAGTATGATATTTACAGCTAGTGACTGCAGTCTCTTTAGTCAGAGTTAGAAATTAATTCTCTGGTGAGGGTCAGCAATTTAAACAGACCATAGGCCATGACACGTGAAACAATGCCTAAGAACAAGACTAAAAACAAATTTAGGGATACTATAAATACTAAAAAAAAAAATCCGTCTCATTTTTCAGTCAACTCAGCTACAGTTGCAAAGCACTTCAAAATTGTTCTCAAAAAAACAGCCCCATTTGTTTGCAACAGCTCTGTGGGTGATCTCAAGATGTTGTACCCAAGGCATCATAGATGCAGCACAGACCTGGATCCAAATATTATATATGTTACCCTGACATGCTACAATCATTATCACAGAGAAATTTTGTTATAAATAACCAAGTAGCATCTTTATGACAAAGTATTTATTTTATATCATTCTGTTACTGCACTCTGTATAATGGTCTATGGGAATTCTCAGCAACGAATGATCTGCTATTATCTTATAATCCTTTTCAACATTAATTATTAAAATTAGGGTGTTGACCAATAAGATATAGGTGATGATTTATTTAAAGGTACTTTGATACTCAAAACTGTATCACTTATAGTGATTTAGAAAAACATAGCTATGAACTGCATTGTGCTGGAGAACACTCATGAGAACTATAAATATCAATACATATCTTCAGATATAAAATAATTTATACAGTAAATTAGCACAGGGAGAGGAAACTTACTTCTTCTTCCTCCAGTCCAGTTAGATCCCAGAAGTAACTCAGTCTCATCTGCAAACGCTTCCATTGTTCAAGGAACATAGTAGCTTTAAAAAAAAAAAAAATAAAAAAAAAAAAAATAAAATTATAAATCCAATGCACAATGGTGAATGTTTGTGTTACTTATAAGCCCCAAATGATATTTGAATCCCATTATGCTAGGGCCTTTATCAATAAGCACTAAGAAAGAGCTCCAGACCCAATTTTAATGAAAGAACACAAACAAAGCATGGCAACAATAATTACTGTCCTTTTACGAATACTGAAAGATACAACATGGATTGTTTAAAGACACTGGCAAATTCTTCTCAAAGACTGGAACTGAACCCATATCTGCTGATACCCACCTCAAGAATATCATCTCTCTTAATTTACCATAAGTCATTCTGTAATTCATGAGTATAAAACATATAATGAAACAAAATCTAGGTCTAAATATTAATCTGTAATACTTTAATTGGCCAAACAGATTTTGCTGTTTCAGTGTTTTGAATCAGTCAGAAACATGTAGAGAAGGAAGGTGTAGCCAGCTACTGAAATAAATCATTGATGCCTACATGTAAATGAAGACTCTCAGTAGTATGTAGAAAATAATGTTCTTTTGAAACATATTATAGTGGTGCAGTTGAATGTTTTTGTCCTGCACAGACACAGTGAATTTATTCTAAAGGACTGGCCAGTAGTTCAGCATCCTGCTTTTCCTTTTTAGTCAATATGAAGAAACAGGTGTTGTACTGTTGTCTCATATTCACAAGTCTCCTGACCTTCCTCTCATAATTGATGTTTCCTCTAGATAGCCCTTTGCATAGATGCTCATGATTTATGGACTTACGGATTTATTAGAAACAGCACTTCTAACTCTTGACTTGTGGACACCTATTTTCAGATAACTATATCAATATTAAACCAGTTTATACCAACTAAAACCACACTTTACCAATAAAAGCTATACCTATAAACAACTGTGGGTACTGATTTCCATTTTCTTATGTTTCACTTCACCTTTTCAATTGGTGAAAAGGTGATAGTAAAACCACCGTAAGATCACAGTGGTATTTATTTCACTTTGAACATCTTGTAGATAGCGCCACAAGACACACAACAATGGAGAATTAGATCCAGCTTCATTTGAATGTAACTGCACTTGGTGTAAGCTGTAAGATAACACTGGGAAAAGTTAGAGTACTACTAAAACAAGCTCTTACAAGACAGAATCTATTCCAACAGTTAGCTGAAAATATTTTCTGCACAGGTATCCTCCCATAATGTAAGAAATAAATGTCATTTAAACGCAAGACTGGCTTTACACTGAAAGTAAATCCAGACAATAAACAATTAAGTTGCTATCTCTGCTCCCTCCTTACAGAAGGAAGGACATAGAAAAGCTATATTTAGCATGTTTTGAAAACTCAAGTGTTTTTAGATATCCTAAATGCAAAAACATTTGGTTATTTTATAGGGTGCTATTACTCATTCCATTTTTTCCTGTTATTCAAAAAGTCAGTTCCACATTTAGCTCTGTAAGAAGTTATTTGGCTAGATGCAGTAGCTGTTCCGAAATCAGCAAGTTTGCACTGACTTACACTAGCAGCAAAACAGTCCCATTATATCCAACTGTCGTTCTAATAAACACATCTGACAGCTGAAATTCAGCATCCAAGAACACCAGTGACATTAAGCACAACAGGCCAGACATTACTCCGTATTTTGTGAATATGGTTATTAGCAAACAGTATTGCTGAAATCACACAGATACTTTATGAGGCATCAAGATCAGCTAGTAAAATTATGATTCCTTTCAAGGTATTAACCATAGTAAGTCATCTGCCTTTTACAGAATGGGAGAAGGCAAGCAGGATGAAAGGCTTCTCGTGCCCAATACCATCATGAAATTAAGCCAGCTCAAATTGCTGTACTTTGCTCTTTTAAGTAGACAACTGTAAGCCATAACACTTGCCAGCTTCCACATCACTATACTACATCCTACGAAAGAACATTTACTCAAGATACTGTGAGGCAAGCTGATTAGGTGTGTGAACGAAATCTGTCATTCAGCAGAATGAGCTCTAGATATAAACAGTTCGGACTCCTAGTAGTAAGGCAGCAAAATTTGATGTAATCTAATACTTAATAGGCAAGCTGGGCAGAGTTAGTGAAGGATACTTTGTTTCACTTTGCTGTTCTTTGTATATGACGGCTGTAATTTCTTACACTGACAAGCTCAGTTATCATGGTCCCAAGAACAGACTTTTCCAATCTGTGGGAAACATTTTTTGGAGGGGGGCTACAGCTCAGAAAGAATTTTGTTATTCTTGCATGTCTTTTTTTAAAAGCAATGCATATGGAACTTTTTATTCCTTTCTGTTCCTTTACAGATTCGACTAATTTATCTTAGTGCAAGGATATATCAACATTCTTCTTTGCACACTGCATTGCTGATGTTAAAACAGAATTGTTTTGGATGAGGCTGCATGGAAATGATCTTTTGCATGGATGAAGTATACAGCACAGATTCTCTGTCAGGAAAATACTGTTTAACTATGAAAGGGTAAATGAATTGTGATTCATATACACGCTGTCCAAACAGCTACACAGACACTTGGACAAGGCACTGTATTGCACGCTTCAAGGAAGCAGGTAAACTATGACACTTTCTCTGCCAGTCTACTCTGTAACTAGCAGAAATCTGAAGTAGGAAAATAAGCCATTGTGAGACCATAAATTCATCATCTTTTGCCATTCCTCTCAATCTTGGTGCTTACATATTCGCTAACTTCTGCTGAATGGTTTCCAGGAACTGATAAACAAAAACTTCTTAGTTCTGTGATCTGTTCTGTTTGAAAACTCCTTAAAGGCCCTATGCTATCTGCACCAAACACCAAGCTACCAATCAGTCATTTCTAAAACAAGCTCTAAAATTTTAAACGTGTTGCAAAGGATAACACACTGGTTGCTGAGGGACGGCTTAAATACAATAATATATTTGCTCAATTTCATATTAAGAATGAAAATTTCATTTCCCGAACAATGAATAAGGAAATAAAAAAATCATTTTACAGTAGAAATAACACCTTTAACTTTCACAATAAACAAGATCTAGAGTGAATGAGAGCATAACACCAGTAATAATACACGCAAGCACAGTACACACACTTTTCAGGGCAGAGGTGAAGCCAGAAACAACAGGAATAATACCACAATACATTCATTAGTGTTTATGACATATTTTGATATCCTCAGTGAGATAGAATATATTTGTCATTAAAGAAAAACAAGTTTGTTTAAATAGAATACTTTAGAACATATCATAATTAAAGCAATAATAGTCCCACTGTTCTTGGAATTCCATAAAGATTTGATAAAATGATGCTACCAAGTTGTCCCACACGGAAGTGCACTCTGCTTAAATTAAACCTGCTGCCTGCACCACACCAATCCCCAAATACATTCTGGCCCCAAATGCAGAAGGTGTTAAAGGGACTTGTCATGTTGATAGAAAATTAAGAACAATTAAGAAAAACATGGCAAAGATTAAAGTCTCATTAAACAAGGCAGTAAAAAGAGAAGGGACACATTTTTCTTCCCTAAACAGCCCAAAGCTTGCTGTTGACAGCGGGAAGCCTTGTAATACTGCTTTCTCCAGTCTCAGCACAGACAGCTCCTCACTGGCCTTCTGAGCTGGCCTTCCCAGCTTCACAGAGGCACAGGTATCACATCTGATCTAATAGCACTTTATTAGATGTAAGGCTACTCTATGTTCTAATACTGTGCATCGCAGCTTTCATTTCTGTCAGGAGCCCGAAGATCAAACGACACTGTAAACATGCAAAGCAATACTCACCCCAGAGAGCCATAAAGATGGAGAAGAAGACTGTGGCAGGGTTGTCAAATAAATGGCTAGCTCGAGCAGTAGCACAAGCAGAGCTGAGGTTCCAGTAGTCACAGAACTTGTCACACAGGGGGCACATGGTGAAGGCATTGCGTTGATCACACATTTCTTTACTGTGAATGACAAGTGCACAAATTCTTAGAGTGTTACGACTCAGAAATGGGGGATGTAGAGTGGTGATATCAAGCAGCAGCACATCATAGCTATTACAAGCTATTTGCAACATATGTGGCTTGCACTTTCAGAGAACCAAAGCTGCGTGTTTCTTCAAGGCACATTGCCATGCACTGGTATATTAAAATACTTACGAGCACCTTGCCAACAGAAAACCAGTACAACACAGCAACCAATCTCAGCATTAAACTGTATTCGTGAATTATTTAAGACTGCATCACTGAAGACCGAGGTTAACCACACTAGAAGAAAATTATTAAAACGTAGTCAAAGTGGAATTTGTCACCTCTACAGTCAGTTACATGATATGATACAGATTAGACTTAAATTCATGAAAAAGACTTCTGAAGTAGCTGTAAAGGAAATTCTGTGCCCTTGACAAAACACACATTTTTAACATGGTGGCAAAAAAATCCATGTCAAATACCATGCTACTTCATGGATCAGAACTGGACATGTAAGTCTGCATAAAAGCCAGAACCAGCACACAGGCATGTTGGTTGGTCTGTGTCACAGACAGGATAAATCTGCAGCACCATTTGCAAGATACATTAGGTTTTGGTATTAACTGACATACGTGTACTGAATTTATAAGACTTACACCAGCCAAGAGTCTCATTCTTAGCAAGGATGTTATATTTCACAACATCTACTTTGAGATTCGCCTCTACCCTGCATTTTATTTGTGAGGTATTTATAAAAACAATGGTTGTTTTCCCAGTCTAGGTCTTTAACACAATTCTCATCTGTACCACCACCTGCTATAAGGTTTTGGCTAAGTTCTTCAAGTGTGAGTAGTTATTTTAGGTATCCATTCTGGTATGTTGTGTGTTCAGATATTTTGTGCACAGTGGTTTCAGGAGATCAGATACCTTCACGTTTCAAGGTTCTCAGGTTTTCATGCTGAATATGGATGTGGCATTCTTGGTCTGCATAGCTCCTTGTTTTTCTAGTGAGTGCTAATCTAATTTTCAAAAGTAAAAAAAAAAAAAAATCTTATAAAAACTAGAAAGCTTCCACTTCTGCCTCATATAATCAGTTGTTGTTTTTCCTATCCCTTGGTTTACAGCATTTTTTCAGCTGTCCACTGGAAAATGTAAGATAAGAGACTTCCTTACAGATTTTAAAATCTTTACTTTAAAGTTTTTATTTTAGTTCTTAGTCTTACTTGCTATGTACCTACTCGGTTTCTAAAAATCTTTAAAACATCATTAGCACTACCTCTTTAACAAGCCAGACCCTACTTGATACTGCTGAGTATGCTTTCAGTTTTTTCATGAGGTTTTGTATGTGAAAGACTTTCATATCTGCACAGTCTTACTCAGGTGAACTGAGTAGTGCAAAGCTCAACTGTTCTTTCCACGACTGCGCTAAGGAGATTTGCAACATTGCTTCACTGATAGCTGACATATTGTGATTATGATTGTTCCTATATTGACCACCATTACATAGCAGTTTTTTTCTATGATTTCAAATAAAAAAGGAACTATTTAAACTGCAGTATCAATATGTTCAATATTATATAACTTGAAAGGCATACAGCTGTTTCTAGCTATCATATTGTTAAAGTAATGCTCTCATCTATTTCAAAAGGCAGTAGAGGGTGCTGCAGATACATCTTAGCCATAAATCTCACTTAAGTTTAAATGTTAGCACAAGCTTTCCCACAGACAAGCACAGCCCATCAAGAATCATTTAGAACAAGCTAAGAAAACAAGCCCTGACTCAAATGTGCTGTTATTCATCATTCACCTATCAATAATAATGCCCTACTGCAGTGATCCACTTTAAAAGTTGCCAAATCATTTGAGAGAATGCAGGAACTGCCACAACAAATGGGACCAGCAGTACTTATAATCCAGAATCCTGTCTCCACCACCAGTCAGACACAGGTAACACAGAGGAAGTGTCCTCTATTTTTCACCGAGAAGCAGACATTAACATCACTGTGTCAATTTGGCAGGCATCTTTTTAGCATAACACCCTCAGGACACAAGACACAAAACTCAAAATTTTTTTGTACCTGTCAAGAAAGAGTATACTGTGGATACCAAATGTGCTAAATCTGCTAGCTATTGTTTATCTCACCTGTGCAAATAGCCTGATTTTACTAAGAACAACAAATTAGTCCAAGAGTAACGGACAGTGCATTTGCATTAACTTCAGTGAGTGCACGATCTCTTTCTGGGTGAACATGGAGATATGTGCATTCATAAAAAGCAGATGGATGTCATAAAAAAGAATTTACAATAATGCAGTAGACTCACTGAACATTTCTGTTTCAGGATCTTCAATACCGAATAGCCAGATAAATCCGTGTCATTCAAATGTCTTATCTGCTCAATGCACACGTATTTTTAATGCTGACAGGATTGTCAATGATACACCACTGCTCTTCAGATATGTTAAAAGCAATTATTCTCACTAAGGATTACAAACAAAAAGCATAGTCTTATTATTTTCATGTAACAAATTATTGATCACAAGGAAACTTACCTAGGAATGTCACTCTCAATGGTTATACATCCATAAAGAAATACAATAATCCCGACTACTGAAGATGGAATGAGGAATTCTGTATATAAACCCAGCCATGCAAAATAAAGTCCTATCTTTTCTCCAAAATACTTTCTGAAAAAGAAGGGAGGGGGAAAAAAAAAAAAAAAAAAACAAAAAACATGTGTCAAGGGTATAATTTTCTAATGTGTTTTACAGCTTCTTAACAATTGCTGAAATTAAAATACTTATTGTCAGACATGGATGAAAACCCTGAGTATCTTGAAGTCAGTATCACCAAATGAAGGGGGTGATTTGGGCAGTTTGGGGTTCTCCATTCTGGTAAATTAAAGACAGTCCTGTATCATCATAATACATAATATCTGCTCAGGGAAGATTGCGGTTTTGCATCTCTTAAATTAAGTTAGTGAAATATCCCTCACTTCCATCAAGAGTAGAATAATTTCAACCAAGAGTAGCATAAAACGTTGGAAAGGATTTGGCTTCTCAGAAGAGTATCTAGATATGCTATTATTCTTTGCCTCTATAGTGCTCCTGGATTCAACTGGTGAGAGTTATGGAAACGAGATCTATGGGAACATACTGACAACACCCTCTGATATTTTAAAAGACCAGTAATCTTGAATTGCTGCTAAAGAAGGAAGGTTTACTTGCACATTTGGCACTGGCTTTCCAGAAAGAATAAGTATTTTTAACAAATTAGCAGTCTCTAAACAGCTGGTTTGAAAAAACAGTTCCTGCTCTGAGGAACAGTTCACTGCAATTATTGATAAATATGTGCTAGTACTCAGCCCAACATCTTCATGAATCACATTGCAAGAAGTAAATTAAACAAAGCTGAAACTCACTGATCATCATTCCAAAGTACAGTTAGGAGTGATTACAAATATTGCAAAACACCAAGAGCTTCAGAGGGCTCAAGAACTCAACATCACTAAAATGAGACTAAATTTAGATAAAAAACAACAGAGTTAGAAATATTCCATGAGCCAGAGAATATGATGGAGGAATGTTGGACAGAAAGCAGCTATACAGAGATCACCCAGGGCATGGCATGGCATTTGAATTAGTGAGACATACATTCACACTGTGGTGGCAGAAAGAACAAAAAAAATTTTGAGATAACATGTCTAATAAAAGAAATATAAGACTTGCTCCTCATAAAGGCTGAGCATAATCCCACTTTGAGATCGACTCTGAATTCACACACACTAGGAAAGTTTTACAGTAGCTTAGCACCCCCAGTTTAAATTATTCCTAATGCAAATAGTTAAATGAGATATTTGGAGGCCTAGCGTTTCTTTTAACAGACATAATTCTATGCTGACAGAATTTAATGACAAACCTCCGTGTCTGTAGAGTTGACTCAAGTCCCTTCAGCAGCATAAGAAAAACTGAAATTTTCTAATCCAGAAGCTAGGTGTCAGGGCCAGGCTGCTCTTGCCACAGGACAGACAGGGGCAGGAGTGCAACTAAGGCAGAGAGCCATGGGACAGCGAGACAAGCCTCCACAGTCATTTCCAGCTCAGATGAAAAGAGTAAGGGTAGCAACAGTGTTTGGGTTTTTTTTTATTACTACAGTTCCTTCTGTTGTTCTCACACCATCACAGCTGCAGCTAACTTCACATTCCTTGGCTCTCACATAGGAAAGCGGGCAGTGCGGTCATGCTTATTTCAGTGTTGCCTTACAGGAGTGCCTATATTTGCTTAAGATTAACCGACCTCACTTATCCTTTAGGAAGGGTACATGCAGTCATGAAAGGGAAAACAGAACAAAAGCACTTTAAGGCGATACACAGACAAAGTTATCTTCAGTATAAGGGGATGCCATAACTTGGAGAACCAGCCCAAAAGTGAGTGAAATTTCAGGAATCTTCTGGGAAAGGGGTACAGCCCCTACACCTGACATTTGCAAGGCTATCATAAGCAACAGACTGTGTGAAGTATCAAATAACACAAGTGGAATCATGATAGACTGACTCAAATGACAATAACTTAATTAGCTGTGTAATTCTCTTTTGTTTCAGAAAGACAACTTGCACGAGTCAGAATGGGAATACTATTGGCAGTAACCAGTCTTTAAACAATATATATCAACTTAGTAACTCTACACTCACAGCACAGCATAGTTTTAAAGCACCTTGGGAAAACAGATTATCCCATTTGCACAGAATATAAGAAAATATGATTTTATTATATGATAAAGTATGAATTTATGAAATGAAAAACATAAATATTTATGTTGCAAATATAATCTGAATACTGTGGGACTACTCTGTAACCTCACACATGCCAGGTAATTTTGGAGGTAATTTTTAGGAGGTAGTTTTTCTTTATTTTCACATTCGGGAGATTTTAATTTTTTTTTTTTTTTTTTTTTTTTTAATATACAGTGAGGCAGGAAATACTTGATTAAAATACAGAAATAATCATTTGGCTTAAAATTTTCTTCAAGCCTCCTGTGTGAGTCAACATACGTCAGCAATGGCATTGGAGCAGCACAGGACAGAGGGAGACTCAGTTCGCTCTCAGGTTTCCTCACATTTTGGAAGTGACACACCTTTCTTTTGACAGTAAGGCAAACATCACTGAACACATCCTAACAACATGGAACAAGAAGGAGGAGAGGGGGATTATTCTGATTATTTGTCTTCTTACTACTTCTTTATTTGTAGAGTTGGACGACATGCATAGCTAGTGCAGTGCTCCAAATAGGTCAAAGCAGACATAAAAAAGAGTTCACGAGCTGAGCTGTTCTAAACTGTCTATTGTTTTGACAAAGGGCTACAAATTAACACAGAAAGTATTCAAATCCCAGAAGCATTAGAGCAAAGAGCAGCTGACAAGGGTCAATGAAGTTGAAGCTTATGGTTCATGAGGCTTCCTCTAGAAAATGTAAGCCTTCCAGTGATAAATGCAATCTGTAACCTATAAAGCAAAGGGCTGCTATTTGCATCCATGCCAAGAGAGAGTGCGAAGAACTCAACAATGTCCTGGCAGTACAGAAAAAAGTATTTGCCAAGAAGAAAACTGCACAGTGTTCTGTGGCTTAACTGTTTTGAAAAAGAAAAATAATTAAGATTGCTGTGCCCAAGCTCAGTCCACCAACGTTCCAGAAAGTGAGACAATCTAAGGAGAAGTAATGGCAGTGCTTGGAAGCATGATGACAAATTTAAATCTGAGTTTATCAAGCTAGAAAAACACGGGACATGGACATGTTTCTTCCTTTTTTAACATGTCCCAAGAACTGTTCTCCCATTGATCTGAGTAGGAGTCAAGCCTCTGCAAATACCTGTGGCCATCTGTGACAACATCTACTGCATCCACAGCTGGATTCAGTGATTTTCAGCTCAGACCTGAAGAATACCATGAGGTGGGTGTCTTTCTAGCACCCCACTAAAATCTCTTAAGAAAGACACACCGGCATAGTCTTACAAGGTTTGAAAGCATTCCACCCCTACTCAAGTCAACAGTTTCATGCTCACAGATTGCAATGCTATTTCACTTTGAAGGCAGGATAAGTTTTCTCAAGTGTAGACATACTAGCCCCTCTATATTTTCATACTAAAAGGAAAAAAATTAGAATGACTGTAGTAAATGAAGAGGAAAAAAAAAAAATGTTTTCTTCGAGGATAGAGTAAGATGCACATCAAGAAAAGGAATTTTTGCAAGTTTTTGTATATTTACAAGAACTTGGCATCTTCTTTCATTTATATTGCAATAAAATCAGTCTTTATTATACTCAAAGAATTTCTCATGCTTTATGCTGGCATAGAAAAAGAGGAGAGTTGAGAGTTTTACCATACCTCAGTAGCTAACTCACATCCAGTTCACATATATCCAGAAAAAGCTAAGCACTAATTCTTTCTAAAGTACGCTTATGGATGGACCACTGCAGTGCCACAAAAAAACCTATGTCCTCTGCACTGCATGAGCTTTATTTCCATATTAGTTGTATTCTAATGTAGAGAAATAGCCCTTTATATACTCATATGCAATGAGGACAGGCAATTCTAAACCAAAACAAGGGGCAAATGGCTTTGATAATGAATGTGTAGTGCTCCTACCAGAAGCAGCAGCCAAGAAATTTATTCTGTGCATTGTCACTGTACAAGCTGAAATTTTGTGCCTTTCACTCTGGAAGACTTTTTGAATGCTGGTAAAAAGGCTATCTGCCACAAGCACTAAGTTCTCTTGACTAAAAAACATGTCTTTAAGGAAAGATTTGGCCAAATCACCCATAACTCCTTCAAACAACAAAAGTTTCACTTCAAGCGAATAATCAGAAACATCATTAAAAAAGAAAAACCACCACCACCACCTGTAGAAATTGTATTCTCTCTCATGGCAGAATTAGAAGTATTGAGAAGGACACAGTGAAAATGTTTATTCAGTTCCCTCTGCTTCACTCATATAACACTTGAACCAGACATCTGCAATGCTCTTCTGTCTGTCTGGTTGCCAAACCAACATCAAAAAGAATAACTGATAATTAAACTCTATGCTTGCACGTTGGTCACAGTGCTTCCGTGCCAAGTTGTGTAATTTATAAATAGACTGAGATGTGGGGAGGCGGGGAGAAAGAAAGAAAGCAGAAAAAAAAACCCTGTTTTTGACACTGTGAAAACAAGTGTGGGATACCTGGAATGTGAATAAAGCATGTGGTGCATGACACATGCTGGAAAGAACTCTGGAGTTGTTCAGGAACAAAGTTAAAAAAGCGAGGAAAAGACTCTGTGGACACTGAGTCACCTAACTGGGAAATCTGTTTAAAACTCTTCAGTTTTTTAATTTCCATACCCTATTCTAGGCCAGCTGTTATTTCATGTTTGCCACAATTCATTCCATCACCCCTATGGTGGAGGAATAACTTTTCTGCAATGGTTTCTATGCAAAAAATAAATGGATTTACAGCTATTTATTGGGTAGGTTTTCCCCTGTGCAAATGGTCAGAGAAGTCACGTGTATTACTTATGCCTTCAAATTAAACCTTTTCCCACAGATTGTGGACAAAATTCTGGTGTTTCTACTATCAGGAGAAAGGACAAGCAGTCCTCTCAAAGTATAGCTTCATATCAGAACACCTCTGCTACCAAAGCTAGTTTAAAAACTTC